CTGCCCGGCCACGCGTGCCCCTCCCCGGGTGGAGGCGAGCCGACACAGCGCCCCCCGCCCTCCTCTCCCTCCCGCCTTTCCCCTCCGATTCTTCAATGATTTCCTACCTGAAAAAAAAAAAAATTAATATTTTTGCCAGGCGGGTCACAAGCGATCAACAGGCTGTTGTATATTATAATGTTTTCATATTCCTCTCGGCTCCCCCTGCCCTCTACCGACTCACTGTAGATGTGACCTTTGGTATTTCAGCCCACACTCAGCAGTTGAATGGAAACAAGTTGAGCACGTTCACTTCTGATAAACATTATCCTTAAACCACTGGAGACCCGAGCAGAGTAAACGAGCTTTTCCGACAGGACCCCATCAGGAACACACATTGAGAAAAGGAAAGAAACCAAATATGCAGGAGATCAGAGGCGGGCTCGAGGGTGGAGGGGTGGGAGACGGAAGGAGGGGGGAGCAGACAGGTTAGAGGACACGGCCGGGTTGAGGGGGGGAGAAAAAGACACAATTGCGAGCACAATAGGCGCAGATGGGGAGAGAAACTCCTCGGGCAGCGTGGGAGAGCAGCGCAGGGTCACGTCCGAGCATCCCAGCAGCGCTGGGGGAGCTGCCCCGCAGGCAGAGCCCCGCAGGCAGAGCGCGGCAGCAGCACGCCTGCCGGCCGGGCAGCCTCGTCGGGGATCCCTCTAGCGACTCTGCTTCGGGAAAAAGTACGCCGTTAACGCGGATCGGAAGTTTTACGGAACGCACCTCCTTTCCATTGTTTAATTACATAATTAACGTCATTAAATGCTGGATCCGGGTCCCACTAGTTCAATGCCTCCTGCCTTTAAAAATATCCAGAGCGGGTCAGCTCACAACACCGAAAAGGATCCTGGCTTCAGCAAACGCCTGCGAGTACCGCCTGCGCAGCACGCCATCGCTTTCCGACCATGGCATTTGCGCGGGGCGGGATCCCTTTTACCAGAGGTAATTTTATCTAGGTTGAGGAAGCGCTCCAATTTATAAGTGTGATATTCTGAACGGGCAACTCACATTTCTGGGGAAAAAAAAAAAAAACAACAAACCAAACCAAAAACCCAAACCAAGAACCCCCCCACCCCAAAAATGCCGTGGAAAATTTGTTGTAGGGTTGGGTTTGCTTTTTGTTTGGTTGGTTTTTGTTTCTTTTGTTTTATTTTGTTTTTAAATACCTGTGAAGGAAACAGAAGTATCCGCCGATATTCCGAGCAAATAAACAGATACCTGCGAAAGAACCACGATCGCCTTCCTTCCACCACAAAACGTCTGCAACACGCCATTATTTTTTGGGCGAGTTCCTGCAGCATCCTACTCGTTCCTAACTACACATGTTCGTTGCGGTATGTGCAGGCTCTGAAATCTAGCTAAATTAATTTCATTTCCCCCCCCTAAAAATATCCTACAAACATTTAAATTAGAATAATATTTATACAGTGTTCATACACACCAGCGACATCAATTTCATACCTTATACGCTGATATTTCGTGCACTACGGTCACCACATTATTTCTTTTCACGTTTTATTTAATTTATAGAGCCTGTACCTTCGAGACTCTATTAAAAAAAAAACCAAACAAAACAACCACAAACAGAACAAACAAACAAATCAAAACAAGCAAAAAGAGATCTCAGAAAAAAAAAAAAAAAAACCAAAACATTATAAATTCTTGGTTGGAGCTGGGAAGCCCATGATCTCTGTGTGCAACATGTACGTGGGATGCATGTAAGAGGCAGACACACAAGCTCACAGATCAGGACCCGCACACCTAATGCCAAACCAAACACTTCTTCCACATACACAAACACGCCGTGACCCACACGTACTTTAATGCCTACCAGCTTTGTCTGTTTTTCTTTTAACTGTTAAAATGCAGTAGTGTCTTTGATAAAGATGAAATCAGCTTGCGAGAGCGTTGACGTTTTACAGTGAAGCGCGGTGCGATGTTGAGTGTGGGGGTTAAGACAAGGGCCGAGGCGGTCTCTGGCGGGCGGCGAATCTCAGCATCGCGCTGCCCGGGCGCCGCAAGCCCCGGCTCCTCCCGGGGCAAGGGAAGTTGCAGCCCGTTTCCCGACCGGTTGTTCCCACCGAAAATAACTCAACGCTCACCCCTCACAGCCTTCTCATACGCCACCCGTGAAACCAGTCGTTAGCGAAAAAGTGCTTTATTACACGGAGACGACCGTAAGCGAGGAAGAACTTCTCTCCCGCCTCCGCAAAAGCCGACGGGGGGGGGAAACCGCGCGTGTGTG